TTATTATGCCCTTTTAAAGAGGGGTTCTTTAAAGGCTCAGCAATTCCTTTTTTTTTTTTTTTTTTTTATTTATTTATGATAGTCACACACAGAGAGAGAGAGAGGCAGAGACACAGGCAGAGGGAGAAGCAGGCTCCATGCACCGGGAGCCTGACGTGGGATTCGATCCCGGGTCTCCAGGATCGTGCCCTGGGCCAAAGGCAGGCGCCAAACCGCTGCGCCACTCAGGGATCCCAGGCTCAGCAATTCCTAATATTCAATTTGTAATACACGGACATACTGCAGTTTCTCTTCATACTGCAGATATTCAGAATAAGCTTTGCGGTGCCTGGGGGGCTCAGTCGGGTAAGCATCTGACCCTTGAGCTCAGCTGAGGTCGTAAATCTCAGGGTTGTAAGTTCTGTTTTGTTTTGTTTTGTTTTTTAATCAATCAGCCCCACAAAAGATTATTGTTTCTCTAAACACTCAAAAATATTTTTACATTTTGACAGCTTTAGCTTTGTTTTCCTTGCATAGAATACCACAGTTTGTTTTGACACAATTATGCATCTGTGTGCAGTGTAACTAATCCTTAGGCTATATCTGCTCCGTAGGCTTCTTGGCTTTGATAAGACACTTTTACCAAACATTGTAATTTACCAAAATGGATATCTGAGTATCACCAGAAAAACAAAATGTTATGTTCATAGCAGAATTTTTTTTTTAATTTTTATTTATTTATGATAGCCACACAGAGAGAGAGAGGCAGAGACACAGGCAGAGAGAGAAGCAGGCTCCATGCACCGGGAGCCCGACGTGGGATTCGATCCCGGGTCTCCAGGATTGCGCCCTGGGCCAAAGGCAGGCGCCAAGCCGCTGCGCCACCCAGGGATCCCCATAGCAGAATTTTTTGACTAGAGTTTACAGTAACATTTTCTCTTAGGGTTTCCACCCAATCCCAGCATGGAGGATGGGGGCACATGTAGCAGGCAATAATTCAGCTCAGTTCTAGGGATGCCTGGGTGGCTCAGTCATTTGAGCATCCAGTTCTTGATTTCAGCTCAGGCCTTGATCTCAGGGTCGAGAGTTCGAGCCCCATGTTGGGCTCCATACTAGGTGTGAACCTACTTAAAAATATTAAAAATCAATTCTGTTCTGACACTATACCCGGAGACAGCATCAGATCCCACAGGTTAAGGGTTCAATCCTATAACACTGCCGCCACCCCCTACTTCAGAGGTCAGTCACAAGCCCAAGGCTCCTGACCAAGGGCTTCAGATTCCAACACCCTCCTCCTTAGGTTCTTTTAATTCACCAGAGGGGCTTGTGGAACTCAGGAAAGCACTTTACGAATCAACAGGCAGGTGGAAATACATAGAGCGAAGTCTGGGGAAAGGGTATGGGACTTCCATGCTCTATCTAGACACCCTCCTCTCCCTGCACTTCCACTGTACCCACCAACCCCGAAGCTCTCAGAACCCAGTCCTTTGGGATTTTTATGAAAGTTTCATTGCATAGTCACATGACTAAGTCATTGGCCATTAGCTGATTGAACCTCTGGCTCCTCTCCCTTACCTGGAGGCTAGGGGTAGAACTGAAGGTTACAGCCCTCTAGTCACTTGGTTGGTCCTCCTGGCAACCAGCCCCCTGCCCTTGGGTAGAGACCAAAAGTCACCTTCATTAATGTGACAGAAAATCTATTTATCACCCTTATCACCAGAAAGTTCAAGGTTTTAGGAGCTATGAGCCAGGAGCCCTGTGGATGAAGACCAAATATGAATAAGAAATATATATTTGGTCATCTGAATTACTAAATATATATTTTTTATTCATCACTATATTGCACATCTATAATTCAAATCAAACGATTATTAAGATTAATGCAACTGATTTTCTGTTTGAAGCATCTGGTTAACACTGACAAACTGGCATCTTTAGCAGCTGTGAGGTTCTTTTGCTAATAGAACTGCTGTTGCTTTATCTTTCATATGTGCAGTACAAACCTTAGAATGGAAAAATGAGTGAAATTAACAGAGGAACTACCATTTGAGTTATATAACATCGTTTTTTAGTTATCTGTAAATCCCTGCTACTGTGCCTCACTTTTAAGCATGGTCTTTAAAGAATGACACTGGAGTTTGTTTAGCAGATGTATGATTTTTTATTTTTATATGGTCTGAATTAGCACTCTGGGTGAATGACTAGTGAATTGAATTTCATACAAGTACAAATTCATCGGCTTTCTGAGAAAATAGAAATTGCTTATTTTTATTATTGTTAAACATACACTATGTTTAATTTTATTGCTGCCTGAAGAATTTATCAAAAAAGAAAGTATTACCCCCCCCCCAAAAAAAAAACAACTAAAACATAAAAGCCCTACAGATTTACATCAGGAGTTGCAAATTTGGCCTACTTCCAGATTTTATATGACTTACAAACTAAGAATGGTTTTTACATTTTTTAATGGTCGAAAATATCAAAAGGGAGCACCTGGGTGGCTCAGTGGGTTAAGCTCTAGTTCGACTCTATCTTGGCTCAGGTCTTGATCTCAGGGTCATGAGTTCAATCCCCACAGCACAGTGGGCTTTACACTGGAGCTTTTTTTTTTTTCTTTAAAAGAAAAGTAATATTTTGAGACATGAAAATTGTATGAAATTCAGATTTCGGAGTGAGTGAACAGTTTTACTGAAACTGGAACATAGCCAGGGTCAGGCCCTTGCTGGGTATTTGGGCTGCTTTCCCGTACACCAACAGAGTCGAACTGTGGCAAAACCCACACCACCTAAAATAGTTACTGCGGCCCTTCACAGAAAGTATGCCACCTCCTGATTATACCATTCAGTAGAAGAGGAACACTATGACAAGAGTATTGGGACTGCTCTCTGCTACCTTCTCCTTCAGGACTGGCCCACCTCTGTTTCCCACACATGTTCACATACACTGCAGTTTCCTGTGCACATGGCTGACCATAGCTTCATACATGTCCTGGGCCGAGGCGCCGGCCACCTGCCTGATGGCACCAAATGGGCAAGAGCACCTCATACTTCTCACATCAGCTGAGACAGAGATGACTGCCCGGCCACCACACCAGCAAGCACCTGGGATGGGCTGAGGGTGGAGGGCTGCTCTCATTTCACCTGGAAAGAGGAGGAGAGCGGTGGTGGCACCCCACACACCGCTGGATGAGACCGCATCAGTGAAGGCCTAGCACCAAACCAGTCTGGCTTCTTAGGTTTTTTTGTTTGTTTGTTTGTTTGTTTGTTTTTAAATTTTTTTAAATTTTTATTTATTTATGATAGTCACAGAGAGAGAGAGGCAGTGACACAGGCAGAGGGAGAAGCAGGCTCCATGCAGCCTGATGTGGGATTCGATCCCGGGTCCCCAGGATCGCACCCTGGGCCAAAGGCCAAAGCGCCAAACGCTGCACCACCCAGGGATCCCTGGCTTCTTAGTTTTGTTTAGTTTTGTTTAAGATTTTATTTATTCATTCATGAAAGACAGAGAGGCAGGGACCTAGACAGAGGGAGAAGTAGGCTCCCTGCAGGGAGCTCAATGGGACTCAATCCCCGGACTCCAGGATCAGCCCTGAGCCAAAGGCAGGTGCGCAACTCCTGAGCCGCCCAGGGGTCCCTGGCTTCTTAGTTTAAGACCGCTCTTGATGACGATGGTAATACTTGGTTTAAAAATGAAAATCTGGAATAATTGCTAAACCAACCACAACAACAGGCTTCAACTGGTCATCTCTGATAAACCCCTGCCCATCACCCCCTCCTCCCCTGCCATAGCATCCATGGACCACCCTCGCACAACAGCCCACAGTCTGCTCATCTGCCTTGTGCTCCCTCTGCACCAGCCCCGGCGGCCTCCCCCTGGTTTTCCACTCACGTCTTTGTTAGCGTGTCCCCTTCTCAGGGAAAAAAACACATGCCCCCACACTATTTTTGGGGCGATAGAAATGTTCTGTGTCGTGATTGTGGAGGTGGTTTCACGAGTCTACATGTCTGTCAGAACTCACCGAATTGTGCACTTTATGTGGGTGCAGTTTGTGTTATTGTATGTAAATTCAACCTCAGTAAAGTTTTTTTAAATTGGCACAGGGAACTGAGTATAGAAAGGTGTGTTTGGTCAGATTTTTATATGTAGGATTAAAATATACGCCCATTTGAAAAATCTTACCATGATAACAATAATAATAAACATTGATTTTTCTGAGCATGGAGCATTGTATATGTCAGCAAATTTTAGCTTTGCATTTCTTGAGAGAATATGGTGTTCCGTTTCTCACAGCTTAATTCTCAATTTTAGAAGGTGAGACGATTTTTCAATCTCCCATTCATTCATAATTGATTTTGTTTGTACTTCTTTATCTTTGAAGTTATTTTTATATTTTAAAAAGTTTTAAGGTAGTTTTATGGTATAAGAGTGTTTAAAATCCAACATTAGAATGTTTAATTCATGTGGTGCTTGGCTAGGTTGTTTCTGCATTCCTGGCGTAAATCTGGAGGTGACCGGGGCAGCCCCGGTGGCGCAGCGGTTTAGTGCTGCCTGCAGCCCGGGGTGTGATCCTGTAGTCCCGCGATCGAGTCCCACGTCGGCCTCCCTGCGTGGATCCTGCTTCTCCCTCTGCCTGTGTCTCTGCCTCTCTCTCTCTGTGTGTGTGTGTGTCTATGAATAAATAAATGAAAAATCTTTAAAAAAAAAAAAAAGGAAAAAATCTGGAGGTGACCTATTTAGAGCCATGAAGTGGGTCTTGTTTGGGCTTTAAAAATCAAATTGTGTGGGTCTTTTTCGCTTCCTGACACTTACCTTGTCATCCGCCTCCTGATGTGACCAGTTTCCTGACCCTAGCAGTCGGTGGTACTCTGCTGCTGTTTGGTGTGAACCGTGACCTTCATGCTCCGTGGGCCTCGTGGTGGAGTTCTACCCACACCCAGTGAACCACCGGCTGCCAAAGTGTAGATTGTCTTTCATTCCACAAATACCACCCCTGCTGCTGACTCCTGGTTTTTCTGCCCCAGGGGACCATCAGTGTTGGCATCGATGCCACTGACCTTTTTGATCGCTATGAGGAGGAGTACGAAGATGTGTCCGGAAGTGGCTTTCCACAGATTGAAATTAACAAAATGCATATATCTCAGTCCATTGAGGTAAGGCCCAGACTCCCCCTGAGTGCAGTGAGGCTCAGGTTAACGAGGCGCAGCACACCGAGCAGCTGTGGTTTTTCTCATCTTTATTTATGAAAGGATGCAATTAGCCACTTAGGGGGGAAAAACGTTCCAGGCACAACCTTGTTTGTTACTGCATTGCTGACATGTTAGCAGCATGAGTGCCAGGGGGTGCTTAGCTTCCATGGTCGCAGGGCTCCCCCAGCAGAAGTACAAGTGGTCTGAGAGAACCTGAGAGACCTGAGAGAAGGTCAGGAAGATTTGGGTTGAGAAAGGAGACTCCGCCCATGAGTGAGTCCAAGAACCAGTCTTAGTTTTAAGGTGCATTCTGTCATGTGCAGAAAACACAATATTCAGCTGAACCTGGGGTCATTGAAATGTCACCTTTCTGCCCATGGTTTGGATATAGCACTGGCGGGCCCATCTGCTAAGGCTGAAAGTAGGTCTCTGCCTCCTCAACTCTGTTTATTCTCAAGTACATCAACCCAGAGTATGGAGTCCTACCTCTGGGAAACTTGCCCCTCTGGTGGAGCTTCCAGTGTTGGTTAGTAGAGCCACGGATTTAGTCCCTTCCCCAGAGCTGGTGGTGAACAAGGACTGGAGAGTCCCAGACATCTACAGTGGGCAGGAAGGCATGTAATGAAGTCACTGTGCAATCTAATGATATCTGTGCACTAAGAACCAGCATTCAGCCCTGTCTTTCCTGTTTTTTTTAGTTTGCACAGTAAAGCTTTTGCAAAATATTACCTTGGTGGCCACATGCAGTACAGAGGGCAAAGTGGGAGAAGAGTGAACTAGTTGAGGTCATCATGCATCCCTGTACACTGGAGCCATGGTCACCTGCACTTTTGAGTGGACACTTTGAACATCTTCATTAGACCGCTATCCTTGTACTTCCTCATGCGTTGATTCATTCTTTACCAGCAAATATCATTTCCTAGGCACCCCTAACAGCTACAGACACAGCCATCCTCTCTGGAAGTCTCTCAACCCAGAATGGGAATGGAGGAGGTTCCATTAACTTCGCACTTAGACGAGTCACTTCTGCAAAGGGATGGGGAGAGGTAAGAATGCCAGCTGGCGGGATCATGTTGTCCACTGTGAAGCCTTAATTTCTGAACATTTACACTCTAAAAGCCTCAAAAAGACCTAGGTTGGCCACATCATTGTATAACAGGGTACCAGATGTCAAACTTGCACTAGGTGACGCTCCCCAAGAGAAAAATATGTCTCATACCTGAGATGGAATCCCCCATCTGCTGGACAGTTCAGAGGTAGGACAGAGCAGTGAGATTTCCCTTGAGGTGCCAACTTACAGAAATCCAACCACGAAAAATTCAGCTTCTTTTTGCCCTCTCAGCAGAAACCTGTAGGCTCTTCCCTTTCCCTGCCCAATGCGGAAGGCAGGTGCCGTGTCAATGCTCTGGTCCACTGATTGGTGGCTGTTTAACAGTCAGTTCTGCTGAGCAAATTGAACTGCGCCAAATTAACATTAAAGAGTAGCCTTGAAAGTCACCCAGACTAGTAAATGAGGCAGTCATAACTGGCTGGAATTCCAGGGCTGAGTGTGGGACTGCTGATGGGTTAACTCCAGACCCCAGAGGACCATCTCCAGTCACCTGTGAAAGCTGGGGGCAATGAAGCACTGTAGAGAGCAGAACAAGAACACTGGGAAGTCGGCACTGCGGGGGGCGGGGGGGAGGGCTGTGCCTGACTGCAGCTGGAATGCTGCAGTATGGATGGTGGATATGGAGCCTACTGAAAAAAATCTTCCAGGGATGCCTGGGTGGTTCAGTGGTTTAGCACCTGCCTTCGGCCCGGAGCGTGATCCTAGAGTCCCGGGATTGAGTCCCACATTGGGCTCCCTGCATGGAGCCTGCTTCTCCCTCTGCCTCTCTCTCTCTGTGTTTCTCATGAATAAATAAATAAAATTTAAAAAAAAATGTCTTCCAGCCCGTACTCTTAGAGCCCTGGCAAACGCCAATGGCATTGAATTAAAAGAAGGAATTTTTTTTTTAATTTAAATTCAATTTGCCAACATACAGTATTATACCCAGTGCTCGTCTTATCACGTGCCCTCCTTAGTGCCTGTCACTCAGTGACCCATCCTGCCACCCCCTCCCCCGTGCAGCCCTTTTTTCCCAGAGTTTAGGAGTCTCCTGTGATTTATCTTCCTCTCTAATTTTTCCCCACTCAGTTTCCCCTCCTTCCCTTATGGTCCCTTTCAGTATTTTAAAAGAAGGAATCATAACCAGAGGTGTTCCCCTGAGACATGTGTTGCTGCTATGAAAGTAAACAAACAAAAAAAGAAAGTAAACACCACTAACACTCTCTTTTTCTCTTTTGAACAGTTAGAATTTGGAGCCGGGGATCTGCAGGGACCTTTATTTGGTCTGAAGCTCTTCCGTAATCTCACACCAAGATGGTAAATATAGAGAAGTCCTCTCTGATGGTCTTTGTGGATTTAGCAGACTAGAAGCTTTGTATTCTTTTTGTCATGATCATCTGGAGTTACCTTTTCTGCCCTACAAGGTCACCAGGGGCAGACCCTGCAGCACTGGCAGAGCCGGGGCAGGGTGTACATAGCTCAGAGGGTGGGCTCAGGAAGGAGTCATCTGTTGCCTGTCCCTGCCCTGGGCCCAGCTCCTACTCTGCAGGCCAGTCTCCTCCTTTGTGGGGCTGTGAGCACCAGGAGAAACTAGAGACAAAACTGGTCAGTGTCCTGAAAGATTGATGAACTTGTGGATCATTTCTTTATCTCCGAGACTGTGTGTCAAGTTCTAGAAAGGGTCTGTATTAAATAGTGAGGCACTTGTGAGACTGCCTGGTCATCAGCGAGATGTGCAGACGCTGGAGTAATAATGCCCCCTGCCAGCTCTCCTTCATCTTTGCTGTTGCAGTGATATCCTGCTCCTACAACTGTACAAGGCTGCCCTTCTAGAACCACAGGCATGTCCTTAGTTCCTATGTTGGGTTACCTGTGTGAGCTCAGATAAAAGAACTGGGTAGAAGGTAAAATAAAATCTCTTTCCTCTGGGGAGGAAATATAGTTAAAGGAGTCCTAGGATGGAGTACACACGGCATCACAGGCCTCTGCTCCAGGACCCGGTTCAGTGGGTCTGGGAAGGAACGAGGATTTGCACTTTTTTTTTTTTTTTTTTTAATTCATGTGAGACACACAGAGAGAGAGAGAGGGAGGCAGAGACACAAGCAGAGGGAGAAGCAGGCTCCACGCAGGGACCCCAATGTGGGGCTCAATCCTGGGTCTCCAGGATCAGGCCCTGGGCTGAAGGCAGCACTAAACTGCTGAGCCACCAGGGCCACCCAATTTGCACTTTTAACCATGACTTTAGGCAAAGAGTAGACATACATGTTGTCCTAAGCTTGTCTCCATAGGTCTGTCACTCCTGGTCCCAACTGAGTGCATAGATTCCTGCCCCTACTCCCCACACCAGCTGAGTCAGGTCTCCTACGAGGCCCAGGAATCTGTACTTCTGTCAAGCACCTCGGTCATTCTTAGATCAGGCACATTTAGGAGACGCTTGACCAAGGGAAAGCTGTTGGCCTTTTGTTCTTCTCTTTTTTTTTTTTTTTTAATTTATTTATTCATAGAGACACAGCTAGAGAGAGAGGCAGAGACACAGGCAGAGGGAGAAGCAGGCACCATGCCGGGAGCCCAATGTGGGACTCGATCCCGGGTCTCCAGGATCACGCCCCAGGCTGCAGGCGGCGCCAAACCACTGCGCCACCGGGGCTGCCCACCTTTTGTTCTGATTGAACCTCAGTGCCCATCTGTTGAGTGGCCCCAGAGGACAGAGACTAGGGTGTCCTGTTCATCGGCCTTTACAGGTCTGAGAATTGAGTGTTGTCATTGTGCCCAGAGTTTATCAGACTTGAGAACACAGATGTATAAACTGAGATATCAGTCTGTTGACATGGTGTCTTTTCTTCAAGGCCCTAGTCCTGTGGTCAGGCTATTTATGAGTCCAGACTGGTGGTCATGGGGTTGGTTGGGAGTGTAGTGTCAGCCCCGAAGATGCAGACAGCCTGCAGAATGTTCTTGGTCTCCCGGGTCAGTGCCTCCCTCTCTCTCCACCAGTCTCTCTCTAGGACATGCTGGATAAAAAGACTAAATCTTACTATTTCAATTAAACAAGGATCCCAGTCTTTATCTTTTGATTATTTTAAGTGCCACCATCTGTCTTGAAATTCTGGGATGACTTTGGTGTCTCTCCTCCCTGCTTGCCTCCCCTGACCCCAGTGTGGTGGAAGCAGAAACAAGCAGCTGGTCTCCAGTGTGATGAGAGAAACAAGGGAAAGTTTGGGTTGGGGACCCTGTGGAGAGGAGGAGTAACTTGTTCATCCATTTAGCCGTGAGGAGCTACTGGAAGCTTGCAAGAACAGTATGATCAGAGCTCTCATAGTTATTATTACTTAATGGCAGAAGTGTTACTTCTTGAGCTTAGGAAAGAGAAAGAAACCAGACTTTGGCAGTTTGGTAAATGTTGGGCTGTTTGCTCACCTTTTAACACTTTGGGTATAGTGGTGTGAATTCCTCTGTTGTTGAAATGAAATACCCCTTTTTAGCCAGAAGGTGGGGCTGACTCCCTTGGTAACAAACTTGAGATGCCTTTCAGTTTTACTGAAAGGTTTACTGTACTGGCTTTCTGCATACACGGCCATGGGTGGACACCAGAATCACGTGGGTGGTCCTAGAGAAATAGATGATGCCTGGCCCCCAGTCCAAAACTCTGACTTAATTGGTCTGGGGTGGTCTCCAGACAAGGGGTCCCCAGCTTTGCTACACATTAGAATCACCTGGCAAGCTTTAACACTCAAGCCTGTATGTCAGAATCCCAGCGTGTGGGAACTGACCATGAATGTTTTTTAGAGTAGCCGGGTGATTCCAGTCTGCAGCCTTCCCCCACCCAGAGGTGATTCTAACCTGCAGTAGGATAGGACCTACTGGTTTTCAAAACAGACATTCGGTTATATCTAAAGTTAGAATGGGATGAGTGGGCAGTGCACGTCAGCAAGGGGGCCACTAGGAAGACTCACCAGGACACCCTCTCTCTCCCTCTCAAAGAGAAAGGCTCAACGTCCCATTTTCCCAGTGGGGCTCAGGGATTCACAGAAGGGAGAGGGAGTAGCTGAGAACCAGGTGTCACCCAGGACCCTTTCCATCTGTGTGTCCCCACAGCTTTGTGACGACAAACTGTGCTCTGCAGTTTTCATCCCGTGGAATCCGGCCTGGCCTCACCACAGTCCTGGCTCGAAACCTGGACAAGAACACCGTGGGCTACCTGCAGTGGCGGTGGGGCATCCAGTCAGCCATGAACACTAGCATCGTCCGGGACACCAAGACCAGCCACTTCACGGTGGCCCTGCAGGTGAGGACAGAGCTGCACCTTCGTGTGCCCATTGTACCTCTTACCCTGGTCACCCTCCCTGAGTCTGAGTGCCAGGAGATGCCCTAAAGGGCCAGTTTGGCTCACACACATTCAGGAGTGTTGAAATCCTGTTGTTTCAGGCTTCCAAGGGTAGCTGTGCTCCAGTTACCCTAAAGCAAAATGTCCTTTGTACATCTTATAGTAGAAGTGCACAGAATAAGGTTGGGAAAATGCCCAGGTTAGTAAGTGATCCCAGAGCAGAGTCAGGCACTCGGGTCCCACCATGGCGGGCAGGGACACAGAGAATGAGAGACACCCCACTTCAAAGGGCAGCTACTCCTCAGCACTCAGCACCTGCTGCCATGTAAGAACACAGCTCCTTGACACAGAATGTTCTATTTTCATGAGACATGAGGAAATTGGGGTTTTATGTGAGCTCTCCTGGGTTGCAGATACTGGCCACTAGTAAATCTCCACACACAGATCATGGCCCGTGCCCAAGAGGCCCGCCCACAACGAGCGCCCACGGGCAGTGTGCACTCGGTGGCCACCTTCCTGCAGAGTCCCGGGCACTAGCTGTGCCTTCTCTTCTTCTCGCTGTCTCCCCAGCTTGGAATCCCTCACTCCTTTGCACTGATCAGCTATCAGCACAAATTCCAGGACGATGACCAGACGCGCGTGAAAGGGTCCCTGAAGTAAGTCCTGACCTGGCTGCAAATCAGGTAGGGGGTTCTGATTGCAGAGCCTGGTGTCAGTGGCCCACTCGAGCTGGCCACATTTCTCAAGAGCCCCTGTTGCGAGGGCATGGGGTTTACCACCCTGCAGTCCCTGCCTCGAGGACCTTGAAGCTGATAGAAGAACTGCACCACTAGCATGCTGACTTGCTTCTGCTCACTGACCAGAAGTGTCCATCAAGACCGACTCCTGGGGCTGAGGATGGGGGTAGGGTGGGGAGCTGAGAGGGAGGGACAGAATAGGGGGGCCCAGCCTCTGTTCTGAGTGCCTGTGGGGACTGGGAGAGATGGAAAGCCACTTGCTCAGGCCTTGCACTCCCTGCAGGGCAGGCTTCTTTGGGACGGTGGTGGAGTACGGAGCAGAAAGGAAAATCTCCAGGCACAGCGTCCTAGGCGCAGCTGTCAGCGTTGGAGTCCCTCAGGGCGTTTCTCTCAAAGTCAAGTAAGTTGAACTGGCCAAGAATTATCTGGCAACTTGTCACTCACCCAGGCTTCAACCACTTTAAGGACGAAATAGACTTTGCTTTGTAATTTTGTTCTTAAAAAATAAAGCTGCCCCTGTCTTAAGCGTATACGCCAATGTCAAGAAGTCCTAGAGCCCACTGTTCACTCAGGGTCTGAGTCTCTCATGGAGCTGCCACCTGCTCTGCTGGCCCATCCTCCAAGCCAATTGCATCTCTCTCTTCCTGGGGGGTCCCAGTACCGGTCCTGCACACCCGCTCATCAGCACTGCCTTTCCCATGCATGACATGTGCAGGGCCTCCACCAGCCTATGCAGCATCTGTTTATCCCTCCATAGCAGACCATTCCCATCCACACAGAGACTCCTCCCTGCTCCGGTGCTGAGCCTTCCTGCCTTCCGGCCTCTCAGTATGGTCTCTGTTACATGATAGTCGGTTGCTTCTATGTGGCGACGTCACAGTGGGACCCAGTCCTTGTCTGTGTAGACTCCCTCCCCAGATGGCCCCATCCAGCCTGCTGGCTTGAAGTACCTTCCTGCACTGACAACTCTCACAGTTACAGCTCTACCCTATTTCTCTTTCTTCTTCTTTCTATATATTCATATTGCTGCTTTTTCTAGCTTTTTAAAGCCCAGCCTTAGGTTAATTTAAAACCTTTTTTCTTGGGGCACCTGGGTGGCTCAGCGGTTGAGAGTCTGCCTTCAGCTCAGGGCATGATCCTGGAATCCCGAGTTGAGTCCCACATCAGGCTCCCTGCATGGAGCCTGCTTCTCCCTCTGCCTATGTCTCTGCCTCTCTCTCTCTCTTTCTCTCTCTCTCTCTCTCTTTCTGTGTGTGTGTGTGTGTGTGTGTCATGAGTAAATAGATAAAATCTTAAAAATATATAAACAAAAAAATATATATAAATAAAATCTTTCTTTTCTAATATAAACAAACATTTAAGGCTTTAAACACTGTTTCACCCCATCCCACAAATTTGGTTGTTATTTTTTTGTTTTGTTTCTTAAAGATTTTATTTATTTATTCATGAGAGACACACAGAGAGAGGCAGAGACACAGGCAGAGGGAGAAGAAGCAGGTTCCATGCAGGAGCCCAATGCGAGACTCGATCCCAGGACCCCAGGATCATGACCTAAGCCCAAGGCAAACACTCAACCACTGAGCCAGCCAGTTATCCTTTGGATATATTATATCATTATTATTCAATTCAAACTGTTTTCTAGGTTCACTTATGGAAACGTATTGCTTAATTTCTAAATATTTGGGTTTTTCTCTATAACTGATTAGTGATTTCAATTTAATTTCATTTTGGTCAGAACATTATGTATGATTCCAGCCTTTTTAACTATATTGGCACTTGTTTTAGAGCCCACCATGTAATCGACCTGGGTGATCATGTGCACTTGAGAAGAACATGTATTCTGTAGTTTTTGGGCATAGTGTTCTATAAATACCAGTAGGTCAAGGTGGTTGACAACATTCATCAGAAACCAGAAGTTCTATGACTTTACCGACTTGGGGCCGTTTTCTTTAAGTTGCTGAGAAAGTAGTATTAAAATCTCCTGCTGAGTGTAAAATTCTGTTTCTTCCTTTGTCAGTTTTGGCTTCGTGAATTTCATCTCTAGCAGCGCTCTTTGATTTGAAATCTGCTTTATCTGATGTTCGTATAGCTACTCCAGGCTTCTTATGCTTACTGTTTATGTGACTTATCTTTTTCTGTCTGTTTACCTTAACCTATCTTCTGTGTTCATATATACAGGGTGTCTCATAGACAGCATGCATCCATTCATTTGGTTTCTTTTTCTTTTTTTTTTTTTTAAAGATTTTATATATTTATTCATGAGAAACAGAGAGAGAGAGAGAGGCAGAGACACAGGCAGAGGGAGAAGTAGGCTCCATGCAGGGAGCCCAATGTGGGACTCAATCCCGGGACTCCAGGGTCACGCCCTGGGCAGAAGGCAGGCGCTAAACCACTGAGCCACCCAGGGATCCCCAGTTTCTTACTTAATTGGAGTGTTTAGTCCAGTAATATTTAATGTAATTGTTGGTATGGTTGGTTTTAGGCCTGTTATTTATTATTTGTCTTCTTTTCTTCCCTTCTGATTTCTTGTTCTTCTAACCGTCCTTATTAAATATTTTTAGCATTCCATTTTGATTTACCTATTGACTTTTTAGCTATACCTCTTTGCACTTTTTTTTTTTCCTTAGTGGTTGCTCTAGTGATTACACATTGTTAACTTTTTATCATCTGTTTAGACTTAATATTGTATACTTGATGTAAAATGAAAGAACCTTGAAAACTTCTAGGGCCATTTCCCATCCCTGTGTTCTTTATGCTGTACTCGTCACATGTGTTATAATTACACACATTATAGTCTCCACAAGAATATGTTAATTCTGGCTTTCAGTAGTTTTATATGTATATATTTGTACATCTATATGTGTTAAATCAAAAAGGGGGGGAGTCATCTTTGCCCATGTTTTTTTTTTAACCATTTCTAGTGTTCCTTATTCCTTCCTAAGAATCTGATTTTCCTTCTGATACTCATTTCTTTGGCCTGAAGAACTTTCTTCAGCTTTTCTTATACTGTTGTAAGTCTACCAATGATGACCTCTTAGTATTCTTTATCAAGAAAATGTCTCTATTTTTTATTTATTCTGCTTTTATATTTTATTATTACATTCTATCTAGATATATCACTTTATTTTTAAAGATTTTATTTATTTATTCATGAGAGACAGAGGCAGAGGGAGAAGCAGGCTGCCTGCAAGGAGCCGGATGCGGGACTTGATCCCAGGACCCTGGGATTATGACCTGAGCCAAAGGCAGACACTTGACCACCGAGCCACCCAGGTGCCCCTGCTATATAATTTTGAAAGTCAAGCTTCATTGATGTTAAATTTACAGAAATTAAAATTCATCTGTCTTATTATATAGTCCTTGGAGTTTTGACAATCACATAAGTCATGTAACCACCATCACAATCAAGATAGAGCACATTTCCATTGTCCCCAAAAATTGTCTCATGGCCTTTGTGTGGTCTCCCAGGCCCTTGGCTACTGGCCTGTTTTCATTCCCTGTATTTTTGCCTATTTTAAAAAGTCATATAATTGGAATCATAGAGTTGTGAGGCCTTTTGTGCTTCTTTCATGAGCATAATGCATTTAAGATACGTCCTTATGGTTGCATACATCAGTAGTGTGTCCCTTTTTATTGCTGTTTGGCATTATGTTGTGTTGATCTACCACGGTTCATCTGCTTATCCTTTTAAGGACATTTCAGTTTCCAATTTTTAGCAATTACAGACAAAGCCAGTAAACATTCACATATAAGTTTTGTGTGAACATAAGTTTTTATTTATCTTGGGTAAATAAATACCTAGGAACAGGCATGCTGAGCTGAATGGTAGGTGTGTGTTCCACTTGATAGGAAAGTACTAAGCCGCCTTCCAGGTGATGGCTTCCTGTTACTTCCCCCACTCCAACCCATAGCCTGTGAGAGCCCCAGTGGCTCCACATCCTCGACAGCCCTTGCTTGGAATGGTCATCTTGTTCACTTTGGCTGTTTCTCTGCAGGTATGTGAGTACATCCGTTGTGATTTTGATTTGTGTCTCCCTGACGTCTAGGATGTTGAACATCTTTCCGTGCGCTTATTTGTCATCCAGATCTTTTGTTTGTTTGTTTGTTTGTTTTTAATTTTTATTTATGATAGTCACAGAGAGAGAGAGAGGCAGAGACACAGGCAGAGGGAGAAGCAGGCTCCATGCACCGGAAGCCCGACGTGGGACTCGATCCTGGGTCTCCAGGATCGCGCCCTGGGCCAAAGGCAGGCGCCAAACCGCTGCGCCACCCAGGGATTCCTTTTGTTTGTTTTTTTAATGAAGTCTTCATTCAAATCTTTTGTCTGTTTTATTATTGGGTGGTTTGGTTTCTTTTTTTTTTTTTTAATATTTTATTTATTTATTCATGAGAGACAGAAAGAGAGGCAGAGACCCAGGCAGAGGGAGAAGCAGGCTCCATGTAGGGAGCCTGACATGGGACTCGATCCCGGGTCTCCAGGATCACACCCTGAGCTGAAGGCAGCACTAAACTGCTGAGCCACCCGAGCTGCCCTGGTTTCTTATTTTTTGAGTGTTCTTTGCCGATTCTGGAGTTGCATTTATTCTGAAGGGTATTGTCCCTGAATGTAGAATTCAGGGTTAACAGATTTATTCTTTCAGTGCTCCCAGGATGTTACTCTGCTGGCTTCTGGCCGCCATTCTTTCTGGTAACACATCAGTGGTCATTTGAATCATTATCTCCCTGAATGTGATGTCTTTTTTTGTTTGTTTTCCTGACTAATTTTCCATTTTCTTTTTTTAAGCTTTTTTTTCCAGCAGTTTGTACCTGCAGTTTACATACATGTGGTTTCTGTTGTATTTATGCTGCTTGGGGTTCGCTAAACTCCTCGCATCTGTAAGTTTAGGTCCTACCTCAAATTTGGAATTTTTAGGCCATTAATTCTTCAAATCTTAGTTCCTGCCCTCTCTCTCCTCTTTGGGACCCTAATTACTTATACACTAAATCTCTTAGTGTTCCAAAAGTTTCTGAGGCTCTGCCCATTTGCCTTCAATTTTTTTTCTTGGTTCTTCATATTGGGTAATTTCTGTTGCTCTGTCTACAAGTTCACTGACTGCTCTCATCTCCGGTCTGCTATTTAGCCCATGCATTGTATGTTGTCTTGGACATAAAGTAGCACTCTAAAATCCCTTCCAGTCTGGGTCATCTGGGGTTGGTCACAGTTCATTATCTTTTTCTCTTGTATATCTTGGTATATAGAGTCATTTGTATCATATCTTGGGTGTTCTGAATAATATAGCATAGAGGGTCTATATTGTGTTATGATCCCCAAAAAAGTGTTGATTTTTCCTTTTTGAAGGTAATTGGCAAAATCAGACTGTGAACTGGGACTCACTCGTGTGTGGCAGCAGCTAGAACCACACAATTATTTCACTTGTAGCCAAGGCCGCCAAGAGACTGGGGATCTGTGTGGTGTTTACATAAAGAACTTGGGGCTGGGACGCCTGGGTGGCTCAGCGGTTGAGTATCTGCCTTCAGCCCAGAGTGTGATCCTGGAGTTTGAGGATCGAGTCCCACATCAGGCTCTCTACATGGAGCCTGCTTCTCTCTCTGCCTGTGTCTCTGCCTCTCTCTTTGTGTGTCTCTCATGAATAAATATATAAGGGCAGGCCAGGTGGCTCAGCGGTTTAGCAGGAGACCCAGGATCGAGTCCCACATCGGGCTCCCTACATGGAGCCTACTTCTCCCTCAGCCTGTGTCCCCTGCCTCTCTCTCTCTGTATCTCATGAATAAATAAATAAAATATTTAAATAAATAAACAAATAAATAAAATCTTTTATAAAAAAAGAACTTGGGGTTGCCCGTCTCTGATTTCCCTTGTTGGGGGACCCCCCACTTCCCAGCTGCTGTGGTTGCTTCAGACTCTGAGCTCTGGGCCTTCAGTCTCACAGGACTGCAGATTTCTTCCCCATGTTTGCCAACCACACAGTAGCAGCTAATACTTGCCCTCCTGTGCACTTGCCGGCCTCTTGTCGCTCCTCAGTACCCGAGAGTCTTTGTAGTTTGTGGTCAGGGTTTACAGCACTTACCTGTTGGATGACTGGTGCAATAGGAGCTACTGGGCCATTACTAGAAGCAGAATCTCCTCAATCTGCCAGCTTTGGAGATCATCACCCACTACTTTCAACAGGATAGGTTGAGGGCAGAGAGGTCTCTGTCTCTGTGTCCAGGGCCTCGGGAGGTGCCCACTCCTGTCCTCTAAAGCCACTGTCACTCTGGTAAAGCAGTGGTCGCTGCTTTGCCCAGAATTAGCAGGCAATGGGATCTTTCTTCTGTCACAGACATGAAATCCAGCAGCTCAGCTTTGGAATAGGGACTAGAAGGTGTGTAGATAATGAAACCAGCTGGAACTGGTGGTGTGTGTATCTAGAGTTCTCGCCCTGTGGCTGAGACCTCCATCACCCTTCCCTGGAAACCTATCTTGGGTGTTCTGTTTCATCTTTGTTTTCAGGTTAAACAGGGCCAGTCAAACCTACTTCTTCCCTATTCACTTGACGGACCAGCTTCTTCCCAGCGCCGTGTTCTATGCCACCGTGGGGCCGCTCGTGGTCTACTTCGCTCTTCATCGTCTGGTCATCAAACCGTACCTCAGGGCTCAAAAAGAGAAGTGAGTTCCTAACATGTCCCAGGGTTTCACTAAACAACTCTGTGCCTCAGTTTCCTTGTGTTTAAGACGGGTATGATCATGATAGAAGCTACTCAGAGGGCTCCTAGGGAAATTAATGCATACCTGTGAAGCTGGGCACAACATCCGGCCTGTAGTAAGTGCCCAGTGGGTGCTGACTGTTCCCACTGGCAGCACTGCTACTGCGCCCCCTTCACTTGCCCTTCTGACTCCCAGAAGGGGTTAGAGCTAGTTCACAAAATTGTGCAGACTCTACACCATGACCACAATAAATAGAAAGTCCCCTGTTCTTACTCTGACCATTTCTTTTCCTCGCACTGAGTCCAGTAGGGGTACATTTGAGTTCTTACAGAGGCGTGTATTAACTGTAGTCTTGAAAGTTATAGAAACGTTCGTGTATTTTTACCGTTTCTTGTAGATAACCCACTGGAGCATAGCATTCCATCCGAGAGGTAGTTTAGATTCATTACCTCTAATGCTAATAGAATAAGTCACCAAGCTGAGGGAATCTCATTTTTTGGGCCCCTCCAGCGTTCAGATCCTGGCAGTTTAGAGCCCTGGTTCCCTAGGAGGCTTGAGGCTTAAAAGAAGAATGTGTGGGGTCAGGTCTTCTGACAGGATGGGTGTTTGCCGTCTCTGTTATTCGCTAGGTAAGAAAAAAGTATACTTTGTACCTAAAGTAGTAAGCATTGTCCCTCCCAGAAGTATTCTAGAATCACCCCCAGGAGGTGGCTTTCCCTGTGGCCCTCACCTCTCCTCCAGCTGTTCACCATGCTGAGATTCTCATCAGGCAGGGGCTTGATTCCCCAGCAGTGGGCTTCCTGTGTGCTCTGGTGAGGAGTGGGGGAAAGCCATCTAGGGACAAAAGAAAGGGAAGCTGCAGAGGCCTAAAAGGAACAGATTTGCTTGAAATTGTCTTGGAAATATTTTCTAAAGCTTCAGAACCAGGAATGCAGTAAGAGCTCACACTGTTTGCCAGGCGCAGGTCCAACGAGGGGCTCTGTTGCCTCACTCCTCGCTAACATGTGGCTTGTGTTCTTCTCGCTTAAGGGAGTTGGAAAAGCAAAGGGAAAGCACAGCCACTGACATCCTGCAAAAGAAGCAAGAGGCAGAAGCTGCTGTAAGTGCTGCAGAGATGCACCCCCGGAAGTCCTTTTGCTCTGTGTGGCTCTGAGTATCACCATGCTGCCACACAGAGCAGACTGCGGGGGGTGGGAGGGTGCTCCTCATCCTCTGCCAACAATACACCTCTGACCGGGCTCGGGGAGCACGTCACACTCCACCTGTCTAATCCCTATGGGATACAATTCCGCAAACTCCAGTCGCTGTCCTAAAGATTAGATACAGTTACCCTCAATAGGTGTAATAGGATTTTCCAAGAACTGGAGGGTACTGTCCTCTTTTCTTCCCTGTAAGTGAACTGGTATTAGGTGACAGAACAGACATATCCAGCATACATGCAGGGGTACCGTTGGGTTTTCTGTGAACAGAGGAGGAGCTAAAATGCACCCAAGCACGAGAGGCAGATCCCAGGAAGGGCCCTGATAGGTGCCCTCCTTGTTCTTCGCAGGTTCGGTTGATGCAGGAATCTGTCCGAAGAATAATTGAGGCAGAAGAGTCCAGAATGGGTGAGAAGGCATGGCCTCCCTCGGGGTAGGGTGGGCGCTGGGGGTCTCAAAGGAGCACAGCATTCCTGCAGCCCAGGCTCCAAGAAGGGTGCCCCACTGAGCCGCGCCCCTGCTTAGACCAAGCCATCCTCAGGGCTTATCATTGTCAACGCCTGGTACGGGAAGTTCGTCAATGACAAGAGCAAGAAGAGCGAGAAAGTGAAGGTGATTGACGTGACCGTGCCCCTGCAGTGCCTGGTGAAAGACTCGAAGCTCATCCTCACGGAGGCCTCCAAGGTAGAGCACACACCCATGGGATTCAGACACGAAAGGCCTGTGGGCCATGGGGATAGCCTGGCGCCTTGGAATGGCCGTTCCATCGTAGTGGAATCTCTTCTGTTTGGCGTGCTGCCCAGCACCCAAGTTATGGTCACACTGGAGCTGTTCACTTCATCCATTCGTTCACACAGCAAGTATTTACTGAGCTCCGACTGTGTGCCAGGTAGAGCAGCGAACAAAATATAAATGCCCGGTGTTCGTGGAGCTTATATTCTCTTCCTTGCTTGCCTTGTTCTAGAAAGTGTGGGATCTCCCATTTGAAGTTCACACTGGAGCCCAGGGGTGGGAACGCTAAAGGCAAATTAAAGCACAGATTCACTCAGGCCGGATACCTTGTTCTCTCAGGATTCAGGATGGGGCTTCCGTGAATTCCGGGGGCTCTAGCATGGCAGGGTTTTGTTGTTGTTGTTGTTGTTGTTGTTTAAGATTTTGTTTATTCATGAGAGACACAGAGAGAGAGAGAGGCAGTGATACAGGCAGAGGGAGAAGCAGGCTCCATGCAGGGAGCCCGATGTGGGACTCGACCCAGGTCTCCAGAATCAGGCCCTGAACTGAAGGCGGCGCTAAACCACTGAGCTGAGCCACCCGGGCTGCCCAGTAGGCAACTTTCTGACATTCTCAGGCTCATGGTGTGCATCTCTCGAGGGCAGCTCCTGAGGGAAAGTCAAGGCCTGCCCACACTGACCACAGATGGCAGCAGACAGCAGTGGTGCTGGGCCTGAAGCCCCATGGAGTAAGACCGTGTTTGTTACAGGCTGGACTGCCGGGGTTCTACGACCCGTGTGTGGGTGAGGAAAAGAACCTGAAAGTGCTTTACCAGTTCCGAGGCGTCCTGCACCAGGTGATGGCACTAGACAACGAGGCCCTTAGGATACCAAAGCAGTGTGAGTAGCTGCCCCTCTGCAGTCACCTGCCCTGTGTACCAATGGGGGGAGGCCCTCAGCCACAGATGGGGACTAGGGACATCAGTGTGAGGTGACAGCCACCTAACCCTGTGTTATCTGCCTGGGAGCAAAGGACTTGCTCAGAGCCCGTGATGGGCTGCCCCGAGGAGGGTGGTGTTCCTTCCCAGGTGGAATTTCACTGAGCTCTTTGCTTGCAAACTGCAGCATGGGTGGCTGGGCAGGAGGCAAACCCAGCTGTTCCTATATGTTCTAGAACCAGTTGATTCTCCACAGCCTGTTCTGTGCTCCACTCTAGACCAGGCAGCCTCTGGTCAGGTGATGGCTGAACCCCTCAGTGGAGACAGGCGTGGAAAGAGTTGCCTTTTGGGACACTCAGTTTGTCTTGTCTTTCACAGCTCATAGGATTGATACAGACGGATAAGCTGCTTGAGAAACCAGATTTACAAAAGGCTGCAAAAAATCTTCCTGAGAATCTACAAATCCAGAAGCAGGGAAAAAACCCAGACATCAGATGTGTTTATTTTATATTATTCCTATAGAGAAGGTGGTACCGTATCAATGATGTGGAGGGACACACAGACACCCCGTGTTCACGGGTGCTGGAGGGAGGACTGAGGCAGCCCCACCCAAACCAGAACTGCAGCACGGCCTATGGCTGTTTACCCAAGGATCGAGTCCCTGGAGGGGAGGCCCCAGCCCCTGGGCTCCTAGGCTCCTGAGCCCGGGTGCTGACTGCAGCCACCCAGTAGTGCTCAGTCTATTTGAGGTATTTATGGAACATCCTGCCCTCACACATAGGACTGTGAACTACTTTTCCTAAAATCCACACCGAGCATGGAAAACAAAATGGAAAGGAAGTTCTCTTGAGCAGAGGTCTCCAGAACAAGTGAACATCTGTTCAGTCAACTTCCCAAAACTACTTTTTCCTGCTGAAATATTATCCAGTGAATCTGGAGAGGATTGTGTGGGTTTATAAATCGGCTTTTTATCTAAGAACAAATGGCTTTGGAAATTAGTGTCTTTTTTCCCCCTCCCAGAACTTCTTGAATCATTCCACTGGCATGTGGCTTAGACTGGAGAGGTGTAACCCCCGGTCCCAAGGCCCAGCCCTGTCACAGGTCCCTTCCTCCCAGGAGCCACCCATGTCCTGGGGGCAAAAGGCAGGTGTGAGCCAATCCACCTTCACGTCCCTCACAGCCCGCCCCCCCCCCCCCCACAGCTCAGCTGACGTACCTCTGCCCCCAACACTGGAGCACAGGACAAGGGAGAGGACCGGAGGAGGGGGAAGCACGGGGCAGGGCCGGGCAGAGTGGAAAGGACCCTGGACCCCGGCTCCGGTACTTGCCAAATCCCTGGTGCTGGGACAGCAAGGCGGCCTGAGCCTCTCTTGCTTGTGCGCGGCTGGCAGGTGGCGCTGCTGCTCCCACACCTCCTCTAGTCCCAACTCTCTCCTCTAAGGGAACTGTGGTGTCTGCTCCCCAGACCCTCTTCCTTCACCTGCCTCTTCTGGGGATGCAGAGCCCTTAGGAGCTAGAATGCTCCTGAACCGCCTGCTCTGTCTGGTGACTGCGAGTCACTGATGAGCAAAGAGGCCCTTTGGTGGTGGTTCTGACAGCCCCTTGCAGCTGTTGCTAAAATCAGGCTTCGCTCCTGGCGGTGGTCCCGGAGTCATCGCTAATACTCTCTTCCTCCAGTTTTCAAAACAGTTCAGGTTGTTCAATTCTGTAATATTTATCTCCATTTAAAGAAGTTTCTCTACGAGCTGCTGCTCTGAATGTAAATCGTGCAATAAGCATGGCGTGAACTGCCTTTGGACGCAGCCATGTGTTCCCTCCATGGCAGGTGGCTCTTTGGGGCACTGATTCTCTTAATTTTGTCTGAAATGGACTGTACGGAAGGCACTCTCTTATCACAATAAACCTTTCCTGAAAACTGGGGATGGTATTTTAATGCATCTGTATGTTCATTTTCAAGGGTGAGCAAAGTAAGGACGTGCCCCCTCCTCTTGCCCTCATGCCCTCCCATTTTCTCCCTGGCCTTCACTAAGGAAACCATGGGCTGAACCTGAAGCTGTGGTTTCCACATGAGACCTCTGCCTGAGAAACAGTCCAGCGTCAGGAGATCATTTAGGGGAGGATCCTTGTTTTCCTGGGGGTGGTTTCATTTAGGAGCTTTTTGTTGTTGCTATTTTAAGTCAAGTCACCTTTTTTTTGTAGTCAGAGGTGGTCATGCCCTGCCCGCTTTCCAAGAGGACACAGGAAGTCCATCTTCTCGGCAGCCACAAAGTAGGGAGGAGAGAGACCTTCAAATTAGCCTTCAGCCCCCTTCCCCCATTCTGAACACAGAGCACTCCTGTGGAAACTTTCATAAGCCGAAATGGCTTAAAGCAAAGAAGCAATTACCATTAATTTTTAGGGGAAAAAATGTGAGCGTTCCCAGATCTAATAAATCACCTTTTGGGTTTTTTGGATACCTTAGGACACATCTTACTAATGGCTGCATGAAACGGAGTGGAACCAGAGACTCTCAGACGGCCCAGTGCTCTGGGGGCTCGGGGGCTCGAGGCTGAGTCTAGTTCTGGGGGAGGGACGGGCAGTGCCCTGGTTCCCTCTCAGCCACTGCAAAACACACACTCATTGCTTTTTTTGCCTGTGCCTTTTGCCATAAAAATGAAAATCCTCAAATTTCTTTAGGTTAGCAATAACAGGTACTAATGCAGGTCTGTTGTAAAAACAAACTCTTGAGAAACGGGAGACACGTGTACTAGTTTTTAAATAAAGGAGGAGACCCTGCAGCATAGAAAGACACTTTATTCTGTTGCTCTGTCACACCAGGCCAGGAACGGGGGCCAGTCTCAGCCACTCAGAGCCAGCGCCCAGGCGATGGGGGCCACACTGTCCCCTCTCGTGTCCTGCCCCAGGCCCAGCCGCCCCTCAAGGGGATGCACTTCTCCCCACTGGGGGAGTGTGTGCCACATGGCCTCCAGGCCCGCTTCATCCTGCGGTTCTCAAGACACACACACCCCACCACCCAGCTTTTGCTGAAAGGACAGCAGGCTTGGTCCCCTTGCTCGAGATCCACCCTGTCCCAGGCTGCTGCAACTACTCTTCCCCTGAGGTGGCCTGGGCTCCTTGCCGCATGGCCCACCCGGCACGGCATTCCTGTCACTTGACATCAGCGGCAAGGCTCGGGGTCCACGGCCCCCACCTGCCAGGGGCTCAGCTCTGCGGCTCTGGCGGAGGCCCAGCCCTGTGTGCGCGGAGGCGGCTGGACATCCTCCGAATCACCAGCCTCTGGGCCTTCAAGCGCTTCCGGAGCTTTTCATTTTCCTTCAGAGTCAGGAAGAGTTTCTTTTTTAGGGCATCTAAGTCCAAAAGGGCGTAGCTGTGGTCGGAGGTCTGTGCAGGGCTGGGGCTGGCCTGCTGGGCAGGGGCCTGAGTTCCCTGCAGTCTCCGCGGCACGACCTGATGATAGAGGCGACCCAAGGACAGAGGCACGTGAAGGCAAAGTGGAGCCCAGGTGACAGCTGGGCGACAGGTGGGGGCCAGGGAGGCCTCCCTTCCCATAGCACTCCTGAGAGCCTCATCTGCCCAAACTGTGGCCGTCCTGTTACTGGGGAGCTCTGAACTCAGGGCCACGAGCCACGGCGCTCCGGTCTGGGCACCAGTTCGCTTCAGGCGGTGTGAAGCGAATCGGCCTGCAAGAGGCCACCAGCCTGCACACCCCCTAGGGCCCGGCCCAGCACCTTACTGCTCCACCCTTACCTGCTCTGTAGGGCCGCTGGCCATTGGGGGCAGCACTTCCAGGGCAGCCTCCAGCTTCCTCCCCCAGCCACACTCTGCAGGCACCACCTCGGAGGCCACCTGGGGACGGCAGGGCATAAGTGGGTAAAAGCCCCTGGAAGCCCTTTGTGCTGTCCCAGGATGGCCAGGGCCAGGGTTGCCCCACAGCCAGCCTCCCCCTCACAGGCTGGGGGTCAGACCCCGAGGAATCGGGCGCCAGCCACACCGCCTGCCAACTGGGACTGGCTGGTGTTACTGGGAAGCAGGCAGGGGAGGCTCTGCTTTCCCTTTCTAGGGAGACACAGGATCCGAAACCTGGTTTATGAGGTGGGCACAACAAAGCCCCGCAGACCGGGCGGGGCGGGGCAGGCGCTGCGGCTCTGTGTCCCCACCAAGCCTCAGTCCTGGCGGGGCAGCACTGGCACTCACCTCCTTGTGAGAGTCCGCGTTTGTGTCCCCGCCAGCCGGGTCCGCGTTCTCCCTCGCCAGCTGCAGGGGGCACAGAGCACTGTACACAGATGGGCCCTGGGGCTCGGCTCCCCAGGGCTCGAGCGGATCACCCCAAGATCCCCCACCAGGTGCCCGGCCACATGCATGTCTGACTCCCCCGCTCAGCCCATGTCAAGGCAGATGGTGCTGAGCCCAGCCCAGCTCTGGTCACCAACCACTGGCCCGCTCTCCCAAAAGCTGTCCCCAGATCGTAGGCCCCCTGAAGCCAGGGACCTCATTCATATGTGTTACCCCACAGCCTGACATTCTGGGCACATAGGTGACTCAAATTTGGCTCAAAGACTGGCAGCCACATAGGAGAGAACATCGACTCGGGTTCCCGGGCATCCCCAGAGCTGCCACCAGCCCCAGGGCCCCGGGGTACTGAGAGCACCCAGGGGCAGGCTTGCAGATGCCACCCCACGTTGTTAAACTGTGAGCTCCCTTCAAATCTCACCACAAAGGTGTGAGAACCGATCAAAGTCCTTTAGCCACAGGCACAGACAGAGGAGGTAGTTAACCCGGGCACGGGGTTCAGACCAGCAGGATGGCGACGTCTAGCCGGGCTGCACACCGCGCCTGTGGTCTCCAGCACTGTGCGGGACACTCAGACATCTGCCGGGAGGGCAGATCTCACGGTAAGTGTTCTGACCGCAACAAAATAAAAGTGAGCAATATATATCAAATAAAAAAGGGTCTTCCATATTGAAATAACAACAAAACCTTCTAGGTGTTGGGAATAAGCCATGAAACAAACCCCTGCCCTCAGGGAGTGAACCAAAGAGAGAAGCTGAATCAGAGCAAATGCAAAGGAACGCAAAGGAGCCGGGAAGAACCAGCACGAAGGGAAGGCAGGTGGGGGGAGGGGGGTGGCGGCCTCCTCCAGAAGACGTGACCGTGGACTTGGAGAAAGTGAGGCTGCAAGCCTGCAGGTGTGTGCAAAGCTCAGATGGAGGGCAGGCGCCCCAATGCACAAGTCCCCACACCCTTAATTCCCTTCCCTCTCTCTCCCAGGACAATCAAGCACAGGTACCAGTTGGCCCTGGTTTGCTCCACCACTGCTTTGCCTTTCAGGTTCAAAGAGGTGCCCGCTGTGAGGCCCACCACCTGGGACTCAGTACACCTTTGGGATTTATGAAATTCAGTATCATTCCCCTCGGGGCCTCTGCACCCAACCGTGCATGAGCTCTCTCCTGAGCCAAACCTGCACATCCCGCCCCACAGAGTTGGCCCCCTCAATGTCCTGTTGGGAAATCTAACTCCACAGGCACAGGGCCAAATTCAGAGGATCTAGGAACCACACCCTCTGGGGGCTCAGCAAGCCCACCCAGACCACCTCAGTCTCAGCCCACTAGATCTGAAAAGGCCCTCTGCTCTGACATCCACGCATGCTTCAGCTCAGGCCACCAGGACTGCACTTACCTGTGACACCAATGGCTCTAGCCAGAGGGAGCCTTCCAAAGTGACATCCCCACTCACCTCACCCGAAAAACCACAGCCCACCCAAGCCTGCCACCCTCTGGGCCCTGCAACCCTCCAACCAGCCAGAGGTCCCTTCCATGTCCAAGTCCCCTCCACGCTGTCGCCAGACTCCCTCCACCTGCACCAGCCATCTCTGCCCAGGCCAGAGCTCCTGGGAGCACGGGGTGGCAAATGCTGGGGGACAGCAGTACAGCCTGCAGCTTACTGACTCCTGCCTGGCCCTGGCTGTCCACTCGGAAGGAAAGGGTCTGAGTTCAACACAGTTGCCAGATCTTCACTGTGTGGCCTCGTGCCCACGTGACACCAGCAAAAATGAAATGCGCAGGGACACCTGGGTGGCTCGGACAGTGAAGCATCACCTTCAACCTTCAGCTCAGGTCATGATCCCAGAGTCCTAGGATGGAGCCCCACATCGGGCTCCCTGCTCAGCGGGGAACCTGCTTCTCTCTCTACCTCTGCCTGCCACTTTCCCTGCTTGTGCACACTCCACCCTCCCACCATGTCAAATAAATAAATACAATCCTCAGCAGCTTTTGGTTGTAAAGTGTGATGGGGGGAGCACACAGAGGGAGGGAAATAAAGGGGGAGGGAGGGAGGGAGGGAGGGAGGGAGAGAGGGAGAGAAAGAGAAAGAGGCTCCACACACAACAGAGCCCCACTTGGGCTTGATTCCACAACACTAAGGTCATGACCTGAGCCGAAACCAAGAGCCGATGCCTAACAGACTGAGCCACCCAGGTGCCCCATGCTTGATACATTTTTTTTTTAAGATTTTATTTATTTATGAGAGAGAGAGGCAGAAACACAGGCAGAGGGAGAAGGGGAGAAGGGGAGAAGCAGGCTCCACGCAAGGAGCCTGATGTGGGACTCGATCCCAGGCCTCCAGGATCACGCCCTGGGCCGAAGGCGGTGCTAAACCGCTGAGCCACCCAGGCTGCCCGCCTGATACATTTTTAAAGGGGCTTTAGGGCAGCCTGGATGGCTTAGCGGTTTAGTGCCACCTTCAACCCAGGGCCTGATCCTGGGAATCCGGGATCGAGTCCTGCATTGGGCTCCCTGCATGGAGCCTGCTTCTCCCTCTGCTTGTGTCTCTGCCTCTCTCTCTCTCTCTCTCTCTCACTCATAAATAAATAAAAAATCTTTAAAAAAATAAATAAAGGGGCTTTAAATTATAAGTTACCTAAAGCAAAGGTCACAGCCAGCAGGACCACCGGACTCTGGACCCCAGGGGCCTGACAGAGCTGCCCTCCCTGCACTCGTCAGCCTCCGCCCCCACTGCCCCTGCAAACACCTGCACGGGTGCCCTGGAGGCCTGAGTGGAGATGTAACGACAGTGGTGTGTTCACCTGCGTGGCGTCCTGAAAGGCAAACACAGTGGGCACAGCATTCTGCTTCAGGTTTTTGCGGTTTCCAAAGGCGCTGAAGCACTCGGGCCGGAAGTGCTCTGAGCAGATGACCGTGTGCTGCTTGGGTTTGAAGTTGGCCCGGCCGATGTTCAGCACCCATTCCTTCAGCAGCTCTGGGCGGCTGAATGGGAACCTGGGAAGCAAAGGAGGGAGACATAGAGGAATCTGCGAAGCTCAAGTCAATACCGTGGGGTTCGCTGCAATTCTGAAAATACCACATGGTATTTTACCAGACAGCTTGGAAAATTGAGTAACTCTGTTAAACTACATCCTATTTCTGGAAGCTTCTGTCATGCCAGTTTACAGTATCCTTAGTGTGCAATGTGAGGCCATGAATGTGGCCAGAAAGCCTTCCAAAGGCTTTGGTCCATTAGTCTTTGAGTACTCAAAGGCTGAGCCAGTGTCCATTCCCCCAGGGATGGCCCTGTCCCAGGCACTAGGATGTGGGAAGGAACAAACAGCCCCACCCTCAGAGAGCCTACATTCTAGAACAGGAAAACAGACAGCAGACCCAACAGATACAAAACTGTGTAGAAATAAAGAATAGGGGGCACCTCGGTGACTCAGTGCTTGAGCATCTGCCTTTGGCTCAGGTCGTGATCCCGGGGTCCTAGGATGGAGTCCCACATCGGACTCCTCACAGGGAGCCTGCTTCTCCCTCTGCCTGTGTCTCTGCCTCTCCTCTGTGTCTCTCATAAATAAATACATAAATGATCTTTTAAAAACAAATGAATAAAGGGTAGGAAGTGGTCACGAAGGCCTCTTGGGAGGTGACATCTGAGCAGAGGCTGCAAGAAGCAGGAGAGCCAGCCGACGTTGTTGTTGTCTTATCAGAAGGAAGAGCAAGAGCAAAGGCACTGGGATGCACCCAGCATGTTGGGGGCACGGCCAGAGGTGGGTTTGGCTTCGAGAGGGCTGAGCAGGAGTCATGGGCCTGTCATGGCCAAAATACGAGAACACCCAAATGCCCTTTCCTTCTAGAACAAGTCAATTCTGGCATATTCATTCAGCGAAGGACCTCAAGAGATGGGGACGAAGGCAGGGCAGCCACTCCAAGTGCAGGTGACTTCATAAACATGACCAAAAGACACAAGAAAGCACAGCATAGGACTTGGTGTGTCAAGTTCAACCCAGGCCAGAGCACCAGGCTCGGACAGAAGGCGGGATGCGGGCCACTCTGGGGGATGTCCGGGGGTGGGGGAGGGGGTTCCCCAGGGGCTGGTGATGTTCTGGTTCACAGTCACACAGGTGTTCACTTTGCGGAATGGCCTGGGTCATGGAATTATCATTTGTGTGCTTTTCTGTAGGTCTACTTCAATAAAAACCTTCACTTGGGAGAAGGAAAATGGTGATGGGAGGGGCGGTGGAGACAGTGCAGCTGGCCTTGGGGGTCGCGCTCTAGGAGGCAGTGGCTGGAAGCTGCGTTCTCCCAGGCAGGGGCCCAGGGCCGACACGCTGCGAGCGCCGGGAGCGCGAGGACGGGCTCCAAGCCTCCCGCCCGGGCTGCAGGGCTGCAGGGCTGCAGGGCCGGCCGCGCTCCCCAACACCCTGGAACGTTCTCAGGGCTCCGCCCCCCCCCCTAGCTTCCAGACCCGAGGCCTGGCCGGGGCGAACCCCCGGCGTCACCACCACTCATTCATTCGCAGACGCATTCAGCCCTACGCACGGAGCACCAGCCACGTTCCAGGCTGCATCTGAGAACACGATCAGGTCTCGGGGAGGGACTGACACCCCAGGACTGCGGACCCGGCGACCCACCGCGGCCTCCTCCGCAAGCGACCGCCCCAGCCGACGTGGGGGTAAGGCTGTGCGCCTTGGGCAGGTGGCTCGGCCTCTCGGATCGTCTCCCCACGCGCCCAGGCCGCGGGGCATCCCGCCTGTCCCCGGGCCGCCGGCCCCTCCGCGGAGGACCCGGCTGCACGCCCTTGGCCGTCCCCGCCCGGCGCGCCAGGCCTCGGGCTCCCAGGGGCGCCAGGCGGGTCGGCAGCCGGGCCCCCGGGCCCCCGCGCCCCACGGCGCCCCTGCCCCTCACCGGTGGAAGGTGAGCTGCTTCCTGCGGCTGCTGTAGCGGTTGCAGCACTGCCGGGCCGCGCACGACTTCGGCATCTCCGGACGCCAGGCCCAGCTGCCCCTAACAAAGATGGCGGCGGCGGGCCGGCGGACCCGAGCGGGAGCTGCGGGGGGAGGGGCCAGCGGGCGGGGCGGGGCCAGCGGGCGGGGCGGGGCTGCCCGGGACAGGGCTAGCGGGCGGGGCGGAGCCTTACAGGGCACAGCCAGGCCTGCGGACTGGAGCGGGGTCACGGGGGGCGGGGTCCGGCGAGCGAGGCGGGGCCAGCAGGCCGGCTGGGGCCTGCCAGGGCACTGGAGGCCTGAAGACTCGAGCGGGGCCACGGGGGGCGGGGCCAGCGGGGCCAGGCCCGGGCCTGCGGGCCTGCGGGCCGGGCGGGGAGGGGCGGGAGGCGGGGCTGCCTCCGCTCTGCTCCTGGGTCAACTCCCTGGGCGCTCCCTGCGGACCCGCAAGGCCCGAGTCAGGTGGACTCCGGAGTATCACGACTAGAGGTGTTCCCGGGCCCCACCCAGGCCCGACGCCCCCAACAGCGCCTCCGGCGCAAGCTCCACCCGTTCGCGAAGCCCGGGGCCCTCACCTCCTTGCTTTGAGGAGCCAGGACACACCCACCAACAGCCTTGAACACCTGGAAACCACAGAGGGCTCACAGCCCAACCTGGCCAGGATCTCCGAGGTTTTAAGAGGTGTTGATACGTAGGTTTTGGCTGCTCAGAAAGGAGGTACTAGGTGACCACTAGTTGGTCCCAGATTAGAGGCGGGCAGACACAGCTCATTCAAGGAAAAGGCAGGGGGAATGGGGACCCCCAAGTGCAAAGGGACAGAATGAGCACCTCTGGGAGACTGCAAACCTGCTTGCAGAACCTCGGAGGAGACTGCAGCTTTTAACAAAGCAGGTAACTACTCACTGGGATTTAAGCCAATCCACAGCATGATGAAACTGTGAAAGCGATTCATGTCTATTCATACTGTGGTTTGATCCTGGAGAATTTACTAGAAAAGTAAATGAAGAGTTGTGGGCACTTTATCTCCCCAGGTCTCTGTCATCACGGTTTGGGGGTGATGAAGGGAGGAGAAAAACCATTGTCCACCCCCACAGAAAACAAACACCTGAAGCTAGGCATGAACCTCAAAGTAGCAATATATTTATTTACAAAATATACAGTTTCACAGAAACAGCTTCGCTTTATACACATAAACTTTATAATTACACAGAACCATGTAAACGATGTTAAGTGTCTGGCCTGGCCAATGCCAATGAGAGGTGCTTACTTTTGGGATGACATCTTTCCCTCTCCTCACTTTATTAGCCACCAACCAGGAGCCCCTAGATGGGCCATGCCTAATTTGCATAAAGCTGATTGCAGCTGCCCAGCTCAAGTGAACACAAAAATCAAGGTGTCTTGACTTCCTAGACACCACCCACAGGGATAGATAGATCTGTTAAAAGAACAAAAAGGAAATGAAGGAAACAGATAGAAATGACTATCAAGTACCTTCCAGAGGTGTCACCAGGCATAGAACCTTCTAAAAGCAATACAGCAATCACCAGGGCTGGCAGTTCCACTCTAAAATCACATGTATTCTTAAATGCACTTTTAAAACTTAGCGGAGGTTTTTTGTTTTTGTTTTTTAAAAGAAAAACACTTTGGAACTTTGGCTATTCTCATGGTGAAGACACTGGACAGGCAATGTCATGGGGCAGATCTTTGGCAAATTCCTCTCCAACTTTTCCTGGACATTTGCCCTCATCCGAGCCAGACAGTTGTCTGGGGAGAAGGTGGTTTCTAAGCCCGCTTCTTACTATTTTTCTCTACAGCAGAACTTCTCCCTTGGGGATCTTCACGATAAACTGGGTTTCAGAAAATATCTCTATTTCTGTGTTAATATAAGCAACAGAATTAAAAGCAAAACAAAACAAAAAGCAGTTGGCTGGTGAAGCATGAAAGACACTAGCACAGAAAATGGGCTCTGATCCGCCAATTAAGAGTTCAAACCCCCTTTGTGCCTAAGGGAGAGAATACGAACAGAGCCCCCCTGGTGGCCCTGCAAGAGGATGCCACATCAAGGCCCCCCGCAGAGAGACAGGAGTCCACCCTGCTGTAAATAAATTAGACCAACTTGGGCCTTCTTCCCTTTTCATGCTTCACAAGAAACGTGTATGAAGACACACCCGTCCACTTACAAAAAAAAAAAAAAACACCACACTTTTGAGAGAGTATTTGAACTGTTAAAGAGCACTGTCAGCCTCAGAAAAGGTGGGAGCCTTCCTCTCCCTCCAGGCCCAAGCCACCTGAAGTCCAGGGTACCAGGCCCTCGGACAGTGCCCTGCAGGAACTACAAACACAAAGTGCTGGGGTTCTCCAGGGCTGGCCTGCTCAGGGGGCTCCCAGTCCAGGGTTCTAGTTCAGATCTAAGGAGGTCTGCACAGTTCAGTGCGTATTCCTGGAGCCCAATGTTACCCTATAGCTCACTCACCAATTTCAGACCAAAAAAAGGGGGAAGGGGCTTCATATCCTACCCTTGCCCCGTGAAACCAGCAGGCCAGCCTGTAAGAAGGCATACCACCACAGGAGAGGCCTTCAAGTCTTCTCTACTTCCTTATGTAGAGGAACGCCGTTCCCCAGGGACTGCCTAAATTTTATGTCGCTCCTGGAATACAGTGAGGGAAAGAGAGGAGGACAGGTGAACCTAAGTGCCCTCTCACTTGAAAACAGCTCGCCTGGGCACCCCAAGGACCTCACACACCAACTGGAATGGGCACCCCGGCAGAAAACTGCCAATACTTTTGGCTATATCGTGCAAAAAGACAGGGTTGTTGTTTTTTTGTTTTTGTTTTTGTTTTTTTCTTTTTTTTTACATCGTGCAAAACAGGAAACTGAGTTATGAACATGGGCCACCTCGACCCCCCAACCAAACCCCTTTCCACCAGGAAGTGGCTGCACACTGTCCCTTTTAACAAACAGAAAGAAACCGAGGGATCAATGGCCACTGCCGCCCCAGGGTTCCTCTCAGTGAGACCAGAGGACTCTCGCCTGCAGCCCGAGGGGACCCACAGGCACCAGTCAAGGCAGGGAGAAGGCAGGCCACGAAGGTAGGGGCAGCTCGATGGTTGCTGTACAGACACTTATGGTCAAAGACTTACACTTGAGAAAAAGCTTACACGTATGGCTGTTCGTTAACAGGCCTGGGAAACTGAACATCTCCTCTCCCAAGACAGCGGAAGCAGGAAAACAGCTAGCACGGGTTCCAACCAGCGGGAGTTTGTTAACAATGATAGCAAAGAATTCACAACTACCATGTACCCTCATTTTCAGCTGAACCGAACCCACTGTACTCGGGTGGCTAGTCCACCTCCACTGCAGAGAACACAGCTCTAGCAGCAGCTTTGGCCAACAAGGATTTTATTCAGTCACTGGCTATATACAGGTTATACCTTGGACAGCCTGTCCTTTTGCTTAGGCACCTGAATGGCAGGGGTCTGCCCGCACCAGAGCTGAGAGTCCTGTGCTCAACTAAGGGAGGGGCTGAGAGGCCCCTCATCCTTTCCAATTCCTCACCCATGCTCTCCTCGCTCACCAACAGTCAGTCCAGAAACAGTTTCCGTGAGCCCATCCGGGACCGGTTGGAGCGGCGGATGTCAAACTTGGAGTCCCGGCACTTTTGGCAGACAAACACTTCCGGAACATTGGATTTCCGTATTTTCGCACAGGACAGGTGAATCCAGGTATGGCACTCGTTACACTCTATCATAGGGCGGCCAGCAAACGGCTTCATGCAGAAGCAGGTGACGAGGTCCCAGGAGTCATCATCTGCACAGAGAGAAACAGGTGAGGAGAAAGCACTTCCTGCACTCCCTCCCCTGCGGTTCCCTCCCCCACCAGCCCACGGGTAAGGGGGATGCAGAGCAGCTGAGCTACAGGGAAGCTTGATCAGGTGTCAACTCTCACTGAAGGTCAGGGCAGCCCTCCCCTCTCAGAGTGGAGTAACCGAAGAGTATGGCACCAGGAATTAACTGTGAGAGGTTTACTTTAGGAGCTACATTTATTTTCATGTTTTGAGGCCTGTCCTGGAATCTCACCTGTTTCTAGCTGCCACCACCCCCTTCCTAAATGTCTTGATGTCCACCTTTCTTCCTAGAGATGGCGGGGCACACTCTGCTGTCACACTCCAAGGAAGGGACCGCTCTTTGGACCACCAGCCACCACCATGGCAGTCCTTCAAGGGTCACTCACCCGAGTCTACCATTATGTCCTCATCATTGCCAGTGCTGTCCTCGTCCCGGAACACCACCTGCTTTCCCTGCCGGACAATAGTCCGTTTGCCTTCAGTTTTTATTTCTTTGACCTGATCAGGTGACACGGTGACACATGATCCACTGGAAGGCGTATCAGAGTCCCAGCCTGAGCAGGAGTCGCCGGGAGCCTGGGGGATATCCTGCAGGGCGGGACTCGTGGGGGTCTCTACGTAGGGATCAGCAGCTTCCAGCTTCAACAGGCTCCCCATGTACCCCTCCTTCCCTGGCGCGTCACTGTCCCTTCGCTTCCTCTTCTTCTTTTTCTTCAGCTTGTCCGTCTTCTTTCTGTCCAGCAAAAAGTTACTGGGCTTGGCTCGCTGCAGAAGGGTGGGCTGCAGGTGGCCAAAGCAGCGGTCAGAGACTGGCAGGGGCACAGTGGAAGCGATATCAGTGAACCCAGCATCCCAGCCATCGCTGTCAATGGTGCCAGCCGTGCTATTGGCAGGGCTGGGGCTGCTCCTCAAAGGGAGTTCCTGAAAAGACAGAAGCAGAGGTAGCAGGGGGCCCAAGTGTTTTGACTAGTTCCCAGCAATAAGAGCTAGCCCCAAGCAGAGGCTCCCCAGGCACCCCCAGCCAGGTCAGGCCTACAGATGAGGGCTATCAGAAACAGGCCTTCTTGGCTCTCATAAGCAGGACTCTTTAGGAATGGTGTCATGAGTACTTTACTGTGACCTTCCAGATAGAATGTTAACCCACCAGGAGGAAGACCTTCCCTTGCTGAACCTTTAGCCCCTGTTCCAGAGCCAGGAAACTTATTCGATGCCTAGTAAATATCTAGAAGGGTGCCAAGGATACCTTTTCATACCCACTTATCTTTCTTGGATTGTAGAATCTCTCCTTCCCGTTTGCCCTCCCAAGGGGCATTATTTTTTGTTTAATTAAATGAATTTAAAATAGTTTTGAGGATTTCCTGATACTTTTTTTTTAAAAAATGGAGATGCCCCCAAATATCGTGAAATCAAACTAGGTAATTACTGCCCCAAAGCAGTGAGCTAATCCCTACAGTTCCTCAGACCATTCAAGCATTTATTTGCTAATAGTGGCAACATTCTGCTGGGCACAAAGGACACATTTATCTACGTACACAGCAAAAGAAACGATAAAGCAATACTGGGGTTTGGTCTCTTAGAAATACCATATTCCTTTCTTTTTAGCCCTGTACAATACGAGTTTGAGCACCATGACAAAGTGGTCTTCAGACCTGCCCACTACTTAACAAGGAAAAATAAATATCCTTACAATACACGGGATTTGGGCCAAAGTTCCCTGAAGATTCTGCAACATGATGTGCATCAGAGAAACTGCTCAGCAGGAAAGACAGTGTGGACCAGGCCTAACTAACCAGTTGAATCCCAGACCTGTGCCCCAGTGTCCTAATCTCTAAAATGGGGAGAATTAACAGCACCTCTCTCCTGTTCTGAGGGCCAAGAACACTGGCCGGCCACTGCAGCCGCCCAGTAAGCACTGGAGATTCAGAGCAGACGGACATCAGACATGCTATTTGCAAATCAACACTCCAAGTTTATTAAATAATTTACAGACAAGCCTGCATTGTCCAGCAGACTTTTAGGAACCACCTCCCAGGCTGGGCTAAGTTTTTAAGAAAGATTTCTACCCGAGAGCTCTCTGGAGTCCTCCCAAACAGCCCCTTCCAGACCCCCAACCCACCACTGGTTTCCCTGCCAGCAGGAAGGGGGCAGAAACACTGAAGGTTACCTCCTTTGGATAAGGAATGTAGCCAGCATAGGCCAAAACAAAGGTGCAGAATTTGTTGAAATCCTCCACAGTCCTGCGCCTCTTGTAACTGGGGGAGCACTCCTGTGAGCAGGCGAGAAAATGGGGTGTATTTCAGAGTAGGCACTTGTAGGTGGAGTCACAGAAACAAAACTAAGCCAGCTGGAGCTTTTATTGTCAACCACTCAAAAATACACTGCTAGATTTACAAACACTCTAGAAACAAGATAAGGTAGGTTTGGGTCAAGAAAGAACACTGTACTCAGAAGGCTGAAAGGGGGGTATTGTGATGTTATGCCAAGCACACTGGGAAACCGGGCAGGAGATAAAAACATGTACAAGAGTCTGCTTTCTGGTGTTCCGGCCGCATTTTCCGGCATTTTCCGACATTATCTATCGCTGTCTGCAGGCCTATCAGGAGCTCTAATAACTACTTTTTTGCTACAGATTTTCCATTTTGAAAATAAACTCCAGCTGCAGCTGTAATCAAAGTATTTTAAATGACTTCAGAAGTCAACTGCTCCTTATCCTAGAAAGCTCACTGAGGCCTGACCCCTCCCCAGCCTAGGCTGTGGGTGGACCCCTCCTCCTAGCACTGCTCACTTTTCCCTGCCCTGCCAGCACCCCACATTCAGGGGGCCAGCCCCCAAACGTTCTCTGACTCCGAAAATGGACCAGAAACGTTAGGCTGGGTTTACTTGCGCCTGGAAGACGAAACACGAGAGGGTTTTTGGCTTGTGCGTCCTGTCTCCATTCAATCTAGAAATGCCCTCAACAAGAAGGGTTTTTCTCCTTGAGGAAGAACAGCTCTGGGAGAAAGAACCTTATTTGCTAGTAAGCAAAACCACTCTACTCTATTTTGGTTTATTCGACTGGCGTATTTACTGAGGTGTGCTTAATGCACTTTACCACCCACCCAACCCCACCTTACGTGCTCGCTGCCACCGCCAGGGCCCAAGGACCCACTACCCCGCTGGGACCAACGGGACAGGAAACTGGGGGGTGGGTTCCCGGCCCCTCCCCGCCCCTCCCCGGGTCGGAGGGCCAAGAACGCGGCCGGGCCCCGGCGTGCTGCCCGCAGGTTTCCTTCCAAGGGCTCCACTTATTTTCTCCAGTTGCTTCTGGCCGACCACCTCCGCCCCCCACCCGCGGCCGCTCGGACGCCGAGGGGGGCGCAGGCTGGCGGGGCTCCGACCCCGGCGCGGTCCCCGGCCGGTCCCCGGCATTTCCTGCGTCGGAGAGACCCTGCCCCCATCCCGGGAAGCACCGACCGCCGCGCTCCGGCCGCGATGGGAGGGCCGCAGCCCTCGGGCCTCAAACTCTCGGGGAGAACTTTTATTTCGGCGGGGAACACGCACGAGTGGGCCGGGGGCCTGGCCTCCGAGGGGAAGGCGGCGGCGCCCGGGGGCCGGGGGCGGAGGGACCCGCGCCACCCCCGCCCGGCCCGCCCGGCCCGCCCGGCCCGCTCGCCCGCTCGCCTCGCCGCCTTTAGGAAAAGCAGATGGCGGTGCGGCCCCCTCCCCGCCCTCCGCGGAAGCCGCCCCCCGCCGACACTCGGCCCCGGAAGGTGCGGGGCCCATCCCGCGGAGGAGGGGGCGCGGGAAGCCGGGCAGGATTCGGGGTCCGGGGCCGCTGGGCCCCGCGAACCCCCGAGGCGGCAAGGCGGCCGGCGAACGCGCCCCGCGCCGCCTCCCCCGCCCGCTCGCTGCCGGACCCGCACCCGGGCCCCGGGGGCCTCGGGAGGAGAGAGAGGGGACCGAGGCTGGCGCGCCGGAGGGGCCGCCCGGGAGAACCGAGGGCCGATCCCCGGAAGGAGGGGGAGCCGGGGCGGGGCGAGAGAGCCCGCGGCCGGGGGGCGGGGGGCGGGGGCCCCGCAGGGGGAGGAGAGCGCGCCGGGGGTGGGGGGCTCCACTCGGGTGTTTGCGGGGGTGGGGACCCGGCAGGGCTAGGCCCCCGGCGCCGGAGGGGCGGGGGCCGCGCGGGAGTCAGGGGGCGGGGCGCGGACTACCGGGCCCGGGGGATTAAGGGAGCCGGCGGGGGCGCGCGGAGCGGAGTCCCCGTCCGAGGGGGACCGCGAGCCCCTCCGGGAGGGGGGAGGGGGACCCGCGGAGAAGCGGGAACGCGAGGAGGCGGCGGCTGTGCCCGAGTCCCCGGGGGCGGGGAAGGAGTAAGCCAAGCCGGCGGGGAGGGGCCGGGGGCGCAGACAGGTCCCGCGGCTACGCGAGGCCGGGGAGGGGCGGGCGCGGCGGCCCGAGGGTCGGGGCGCCGGGAGGACGGGGACCACCGCGGTAGGGGCGCCGAGGCGAGGGCGGGCGGGGAGGACCGGGCGCGGGCCCGAGTGGGGGGCGGGGTTGGGCGCCCAAGGGGGCGGCGAGGGAAGGCTGGGGGAGGGGAGGGCGGCGCTCGGCCGGCGGGGGTCCGGCCGCGGGGAGCACGGGACCGGAGTGGGGGTGGTCAGGGGCGGTCGGGACGCAGCCCTCACTCACCTCCGGGTGGAAGGCGGCGGCGCAAGAGTCGGAGTCCATGTTCAGGGTGGGGGGCGGCGGCCACAGGAGTGCAGGGGCCGGGGATGCGGGCGCCGGGCCGCGGAGCCGCTCAGGGCCGGGGGCTCCGGCGGCCGCGCAAAGCGAAGGCGGACCCGGGAGGGGTCGCCCGGGCTGGAGGTGATGAGGGGCTCGGCGCGTTGCGTCCCGGGCTCTGTGCTCCGGGGCCGGCGGCTCCACGGCCGAGCAGAGTTGGCGATGCAGCTCCTGCGGCCGGCGCGGTGGGAGAGGCGGGAGAGTCGCTGCGGGGGGCGGCGGCGGCGGCGGCGAGCGGGAACCCGACCCGCTCCCCGACCTGACGCCCAGTTCGGCTCGTGTCTCGGGAGGGAGGGCGGGAGAGCCGCGAGCGCTGTCGGGAAATGTAGTCTGTGGGCGACGGGAAGCCGAAGGCGCGGGGGCGGGCGCGGAGCATTGTGGGAGTAGTAGTCCCAGCTCCGCCTCCGAGGCGCACAAAGGCCGCCTCGCGGACTCCAGCCCCCGTAGAGCTCCGCGGCGGCTGCCCGGTTTGTGGGGGCGGTGTCTCCGGGACCTGAGGCTGCCGGAGCGGGGGAGGTGCGGAGGCTCGCGCCGGCTCTGCGGTGGGGGAGGGGCGGCGCGAGCGGTAGCTCCGCGGTCTCCGCGGGGGCGAGGGGCGGGGGTACTCCCGGCGGGCGGGGGCGGGGCCG